GTGGTAGGAGTCTGGGTTACATTGAGAATGTAGAGTGTGTGTGTGTGTGTGTGTGTGTGTGTGTGTGTGTGTGTGTTTGAAGTAGGGCAGAAGGTACACTAATCGCTATGCGTTTTAAGTCCCAGTGGAAGTTTCTCTTAGAATGTGTATTAACCTCTATTTCACTCTCCGTTTCTCACCCTCCCTTTCCTCCTCCTGGGAATCTCTTCCTTTCATTTCCTCAACATCACAAACTGAACTGCCATCACATCCTATTGAATTCCTTCCTTTACGTTCCTCGTAACCCCTTACGCTTGATCTGTGTTTTACCAGACGTTTGTCTTCTCCCCGTTTATAAATCCTCTTGTTAGTCCTTAACCCCTCGCTTGCATAACCCGTCCATCCTTCTCCCAGTCTTCTTCTCTGTGTCTTGTTCTCTCCAACCCAACTGGTAGCATGTCTACCCCGGTCTCTCCGTCTCCATCTCTGTCTCCCCTGGCCCTGTCCTCCCCATCTCCCTCCTCCTCCCTGCTCCCCTCTCCTCTTTCTCCTCCCCCCAGGCTGCCAGTCTTCCAGAGGAAGGGAGCTCTCAAGCACAAGAGGGTCATTGAAGTGAAGGACCATCAGTTCACAGCTCGATTCTTCAAGCAGCCTACTTTCTGCAGCCACTGCACTGACTTCATCTGGTACTTCACACCTTTAACACTGTTGGCCACATCTATAACTCCTAACACTATTATGCTGTAAACCGATACTTCTACCTTAACCTTTATGCTGGACTGCATTTATGTATTGATTTAGAATCTTAAATCTTAATGTCCATATCGTGATTCATAGCATAACTCACTTTCAATGCTGTACTGGCCTTGTCATGTACTTTGTAGTTTATACTGAATTGTTATAATCTGAAGCCTCTTCAAATACAGTTAGCCATAACACTACATCATTATTTATTTATGAAAAGACTACATTTTAAAGTGATGAGCATTTTTTTTCTTTCAAATCTTTTTTGTGCTACACTGTTTAAAAGTTTTGGGTCTGTACGATTTTTACAAATATTTTATAGAGCTTTTTATGCTCATCCAGACCACATTTATTTAATCAAAAATACAGTAAAACTAGTAATGTTATGAAAGATTTTTTAACATTTCAAATAGCTGTTTTCTAATATAATGTTTTTATATGTATGTAATTTATTTCTGTGATGGTAAAGCTGGTTTGATCCTTCAGAAATCATTCTAATATGCTGATTTGGTTCTCTAAAAACATGCTGAAAAAAGTTGTGCTACTAAATATTTATGTGGGGAATATGATACCATTTTTGCAACATTCTTTGATAAATAGAAACATTTTTGAAATATAATTTATATAATAAATATAATTAAAACAATGTAAATGTATTTACTGTCACTTTTGATCAATTTGATTCATCAATGCAGAATAAAAGTATTAATTTCTTTAAAAATATATATCTAACTGACCCCAAACGTTTGAATGGTGGTGTATGTACAAAAATGCCATTTAAAAAATTGCTATCTTCCAATAAGGCATATTTCCAAATAAACCATACTTAAATTTAAACCTAAATAAAACTTAATCAGGTTTATACTTAAAGAAAAATACCATAAGAATAAGTAATACACTTAATTCAACATATTTGTGTAAATAAGTAAGTTTATCTATAAATATTTATATAATTTACTAGAAAACAAGACTAAAGAACTCATTTAACATTTACAATGAGTACACTTTCGATGACATACACAGAGAGGGGAGAAGAACACTGTCCTGAATGTGTGTTACATGACTACGCTTGTTCTCAGTTTCCTCCATGCCTCATAAAACTCATGCCCTGAGGGCCTCTTAAATTATGCAGTCCTCTCTGTTTGAGCTGCCATTTAACCACAAGCTCCACAGAACCCGCATAGAACTGCTGCCGGCCATATGGCCCATGCATTGCCCACTTATAGACCTCATGTTCATCAGTACAACTCAAATAGCTTCTGATAGATGCATCTGTTTCTCATTTCGTCCATTCATTTCAATTCATTGAAGTTTTATTGCTATCTGTCCGTTGGAGTACAGCATTTCCAAAGTATTGTTAAGTACATTTGTTTATTTTTTAGCTTTATAATTTTCACGAACTCAAAGTACTCCTAACCTATTATATGTCAGTGGTATGAGTACCATCAAAATGTTTAAGTAGATTTTTAAGGAGAAAGACTGAAATGAAATGTCATTACTATTTCAAATACTGTAGCTGTTTTCTATTTTAATGCAGTATGTTTTAAAGTATAATTTATTCCTGTGATTGCAAAGCTGCTGTTGTTAGTCCAGTCTTTAGTGTCACATTATCCTGCAGAAATTATTCTAATATGCTGATTTGGTGCTCAAGAAACAATTCTTATTATTATCAATGTTGAAAACTAGTGCTGTCAAACGATTAATCGTGATTAATTACATCTAAAATAAAAGTTTTTGCTTACATAATATATTTGTGCGTGTACTGTGTATATGTATTATGTATATATAAATACACACACACACACACACACACATGCATGTGTATATTTAAGAAAAATATGTTTTGTTTATATATTAAATATATTTATATATAATGTAAATACATGTAAATATTTTCAAAATATATACTGTATGTGTGTGTACTGTATTTATATATATACATAATAAATATACACAGCACACACACATATTATGTAAGCAAAAACTTTTATTTTGGATGCGATTAATCGCGATTAATCGTTTGACAGCACTATTGAAAACAGTTGTGATGCTTGATATTTTTGTGGCAATCATGGTAGACTTCTAGCATTCTTTAATGCATACAAAGTTCAAAAGAACAACATTTATTTGAAATATAATTTTCATATATTTTTAGTATATTTTTAATAAAGTATAGGGTGAATTTAGGTCAATTTAACCATTTTTTGACATTGAGATGACTGTGTGACTGCGGACAAAGTCACCCAAACTAACCCTACAGTAAAAAATTCACTGCTGAATCCTATTAACTTGAATCCTCTTTTCCATCTCTCTGTTTCTTTGCCCTTGTCCTGTCTCAACCTATATTTCTGAGTATATGTTGATGTTGATTGGTCTGAAGGATGCTCTTAAAGAGTCGTATATACACTCAGATGCATTTCAGAGCAGATCATGCCCAAAGTGTTGGGTGTCAAAGTATCTTATTTTAGCACTTGAGGGATTTATGCTAAGTTGTGTTTTGCATAGCAAAGATTTCAGGAGCAGAGCAACCTGTTATTATGGTGAACTGAAGAGCACTTAAATTGCCCGTCGGATGAGGATTTCTTGAAATTACCTTATCTGTCACGGCCTCGGCAACTTATGTCTTCTGTCATACACATACTGTACACAACACCACAGCTCTCTATGATCTCCTCTTTTCACAAATCTATTTAATTACACACAATATAATTAGGCACATGATATGAGTTGTTGTTTATGTTTTACAGGGGAATTGGAAAGCAAGGATTCCAGTGTCAAGGTAATAATTTTGAATGTATAACACATTTTACCATTTTTAAATTCATTCCACAGATTAATTTATCGTCAAAGTTTTTTTCAGATCTCCCTGCTCATCTATATGAGCCATTCATTTTATTGGCTGTTTATGAAATAAGTACTGTTAATTGTTATCGTGCATGAAGATCCAAGGATGTAACTAAATATTCAATATTTAAATAGGGCCAGATTTAAAGTGTAAGTCTCTTTCATTGAAAAACCCATCAATTTGATGTGAATATTGGGGGAATACATGTCCCTCTCAGTGTCTATAGTGGTTATGGCCCTGTGAAGATCCGAAAGTGTTTTGCTGAAGCAATTCATATTTGACGATAGGTAAGCTGAGGCAGCAATATCTGAGCAAAGCCCTTTTTTTGACCCGAGTTCAAGTCCCAGCTTGTGGTCCTTTCTGATCCCGTTCACCTCTCTCTTTCTCACTTCACTTTTTGTCCACTCTCTGTACTGTCCTGTAGTCAAAAATGCCAAAAAAGGGTTATAACTTTGTCAGCATGAACAATTCACCCTTTCTAAGTGCATGTTATTGATCTTTTTGTAAATGTTTCATTCATGTATGTTTAATTTTTTACCTCATAATTTTTTGTTAAAATATCATAATAATTTAGTCCGCGTTCAGATATGCCTCCATCCAATTAATAACCGATGGATAGAACAAAGTCCCTGCCCTGCATTTTTTCCCCCCGATAATCCATTTCAGTCAGATGCATGTCACAAAACGGAAGAAAAGATCTGACGCTACTTCCATTACATCACAACTTTAAAAAGACCTGTAGCAATATAACATACTCCCTCGATTTAATCCCACTATAACAGTGTATTTTTGCTGCATTATGATTTTTATCATGAATTATGACATTTAGGGCAAGATTTACTAACAGCTTGCACCACTGCAAAACTTGTCTACTGCAAACTACTATCAGCAAGCAGTGAAACATAAACGATGAAAAGGTGTGGAGACAGCTGGCCTGATTGCATATGCATTTGTAGGAGTTTCTCTTTCAGAAGCAAATTTTATGGGAGGAGAGTGTTTAAGTGAATCATGCGAGGTGAATTTGATCTGAGTAATTTCCAGGTATCATTTTCTTCATAGTAAGATGGCAGCGATGCACAAAAGAAATAGGTTATATATACTGTATATACACAGTATAAAACTAGAAATTGTAATGTGTAAGCACGCAAGAAAAATTCCAATACGCATTTCTTGAGGGCACAAAAAAGATTATTTTTAAGAACGTTTTTTTTAGAGGCTCTGTATGTTGTCACTGAGAAAATCAATGAATAAACCCCTGAAAAAATAAAAATATTTACAGGTGACTGTACTATATACCAAATATAAAGATGAAAATAATGCTCCTATGAACCATTTATGTTAAGCATGGTCTGAAAATCTACTGAGACGTTTGGCAATTTGAGTCTGGAAAAGTATGGCATTTTGAGATGGAAAATGTGTAGGAATCCTGAGGTTTGCGGTAGTCAGTTTACTGGTATTTGTGCTATTATTTAACTCCCAAAAGAAGCATGTCTTCACCCATTTTGCGCCAATGTGAATTATCATCAGCTCTGCTTGTTTGCAAATTTGGGCCGCTCTTGTTAGAATGCATTGGTCATTATGGAAATGAACTGGCTGCGTTTGTTTTCTTCAATTTGAGGATTGTCAGTAGATCACCCGCAGAACTTTCTGCTCTCATTGGTGGTTTTATGGGATTGCGTTCTCATGGTAATTTGACCTATTTAGTAAATCTTGCCCATAATATTTCTGATTAAATTCTGAAAAATTAGCTTTTCATTGTAAATGAATAATCTCCTATAAGCCATTAGCATATGAAATATAAATGTAGTGTGCTACCATTTAACTTAATAAACCTTGATGACTTGCATATGACACAACAGAAATGCTTTACTAGATATGGTATATGTTTCTTTCAGTCTGCAGTTTTGTGGTGCACAAACGCTGCCATGAGTTTGTCACTTTTACTTGTCCCGGAGCCATCACTGCTCCCAAAGCAGAGGTATGTATGTACTGTGAGTGTTGTTCTCTGTTAATGTATACAGTATGTCATCTTTTTGCCATTTAGCATTATTTTTTGTTTTGTTTTTGTCCTTTAACTCTACATTATTTTTCTTTTCCTTTCATTATTTTGCTTGATCATCATATAACTCTTTTTTTTCATGCTTGATGTTCTGCTATGATCACTGCAGTTCATCTTTTATTCTACTGTATCATCCGTACCCCATCTGTCTCTCGCCTCTTCATTTTCACATTTTTGCATGGCAAGTCATTTATTTTTTGGCTGAGTAAGCCAATATGGAAGTAGGTCTCACCGTCACACTCATCTTTTCCTTTTCTTGACGAGCCTTTTATTGCTCTCTCTTGCATTCCTTCTTAAAAGAGGAGGCTTTAAAGGAAAGAGAATATAAATTTTCTCTCTCTCTTGCACTCTCTTATTCGTGCTACACTACGATAAAACTACACTGCTACTCACACTCACGTAGTGCAGAGTGAGTGTAAGAATACGTGTGAAAGAGAAAAGCAAGGAAGAGGCTATATCGTAACACACTTCCATTGTTCCAAATCCTAGTTAGCAGCCTATGTAGGCAGCTCTTTTCATCAAAGGCATCATGGGCCGCTTCCAAAGGCCGTTTCAAAAGGCAGACAACTTAATTTTGCTGCCTGCAAATATACTTTCTTTATGATGAAAAATAGTTTGCATAGTTAAAAATTGATTATTTTACCCAGTATCTATGTCTGAGCTTAATAATATAACATAACATAATATAATATAATATAATAAATACAAAATACAAAAAATCCCCTGCCTAAACGCAGTAATGCTTGTCTGCTTATCTTTATTTATTTATTTATTTATTTATGCCAGTTCATTTGAAATGAGGTAAAAGGCAGACTTGCAAATAAAATTGTTAAATTATATTATATTATATTTTATATTAAAATGTATTCAACTAATTTAACTTCTCAGTTTTTTGTGCATATACAGCTTGTTAGCATTTACAGCGAAATCCTGTCAGTCTTGCAAGGATTTATAAATAACTATAAATCATAATATAATAATATAATTGTTCAAATTCCTTAATTATTAGAATAACTTTTTAATTAATTCATCTGTGGGAGTCTCTTGCTGTATGTTTTGTGTTCATTCCCAGAATGAAAAACTAATCCCAAGATGCTGGATGGTATATTTCATTCAATATTATTCATAAAAATGTTTATTTAAATAAAAGATTTACAGTATGTATTTTATGCTTATTATTACTGTTAGCTTAGCAACATGCTAACATTAAACTCTATTGAAATGAACACGAATTAAATGTGTAAAGTAGTGTTTAGTGGCAAATGGCATGTAGAGCATTCCAGATCAGCCACTTGTTAAGATGCTGTCTTAAAAGCCAGCTGCCTGTGTAGGCAGTGAGGCAACATACTAGTTTCTAAACAGAGCTGCAGTCTTTATTTCATCCTTAAAGACTGAGATTTTTTCATAAGCAGCTAAATAAAATGGTTGTAAAATGAGTTAGAGGAGTGCTTGTGTGCGGCTCTGCATGTACGACTATGTCATGTGAGAAGCAGATGAGGCAGACTGACAGAGAGGAAGAGAAGTGAAGAGGAAGACTGTCAGAGGATGAAGAAAAGGAGCAGGCAGCATGCAGAGAGTGAGAATGAGGGGGAGAGAGAGAAACATGTTGGGGTGGAGAGGGTTTAGGCATTTAGGAGTCCGTTTAATAACAACCATGTCATCTAATATAATTTGCATGACACTTTCAGAAAATAATAAAGCAGGCGGTGGCAGCTGACAGCACTTGCTGTTTCAGCATGTTGTCTCGTAACGCACAATGTACTGCAGTGGCTGTTAGCACTGTTAGATTTGTATTAGATTTAAAATACATACAGGATTAGGCAGACTGCTCCTTATAATTGTTGTTTTTGGACTAGAAGGAGACTATATACATTATATGTAATTTTTTTCCTCACACTCTTTCTCTCTCTTTTATTTTTGTGGTATGTGTGTGTTTGTGTGTCTGTGTGAGAGAGGTTGTGACATGAATGTACACAAGCGCTGTGAGAACAGCGTCCCCAGCCTGTGCGGACAGGACCACACTGAGAAAAGAGGACGGATTCGCCTGACCGTGCGTGGAGAGAAAGAGGACATATATGTCACAGGTGAACATAACTGTAACTTTTACAAACTGATGAACACTATTAGACTTCACGGTAACACTTAAGAACAGGGACCAATTCTCACTATTAACTAGTTGCTTATTAGCATGCCTATTATTAGCATATTGGCTGCTTATTAGTACTTATAAAGCACATATTCTGCATGACCATATTGTACATCCCTAATCCTACTCAAAATCTAAACTTAAAGGGGTCATATGATGTTGCTAAAAAGAAGATTATGTTGTGTATTTGGTGTAATGAAATGTGTTTATGCGGTTTAAGGTTCAAAAAACACATTTTCCACATACTGTACATTATTGTTTCTCCTCTATGCCCCGCCTTTCTGAAACGCGTCGATTTTTACAAAGCTCATCAGTCTGAAAAGCGAGGTGGTATGCTGATTGACCAGCTATTCAGTGCGTTGTGATTGGCCGAATACCTCAAGCGTGAGAC